AATGCATGATGGGTAATATCCGCCATTTTGAGAGATAAACAAAACCGCGTCGCCCCGCGACACAGCGAGCGCGGGTGTCGAATCCCGCTACATAGCTAAAAAAAATGAGTTTACCCGGGCCGTAAGTGGAGATTTTATATCTTATTGGACGGCAAAGATGACAGACGTTTCTTGGTTGAGGTTAGACTGCCGGTAACTGCCGGTTTTCAAGGCGTTTCCGCGAGTCACGTCCAGGGGGAAAAGCCTACAACTTCAAGGCGCATACAACTTCGTATGCTTAAAAGAATCACGACGCGGTTGCCGAATTCGCCGAAGACAGCAGCAGGTTCAGTTGTGAATGTCAAGAATTATAGTCAAGAATAAAAAAAACTCACCTATTCTCGGCCCGGTGGGCTTCACGGAAGGGTAGTTCGTCGAACCGAAGGACGACGTCAAAGGATGCCCCTCCCCCCGCACTTAAAAATCGGCCCAGCACTGATCATGAGTTTAGCGAGCCGGCCCTGTGCCTCCCATACTACGTAAACGGCTGTCGGGCGACTATGATGAGGAGAAAACATACTCCTACTTCGACTTTGAATGGGTAAGCGAAGTCCCTTACCACCATATTACCCCAACTGCAGACAGAAATTGCTTCCTCAAACGACTAGGCACATCTTACCTCCTTAGTCCACACTGTCTTGGCCGCGGAGACGAACTTGTCCACAGACCCAGGACACAGAACCCAAGACATAACAGTAGTATTCAAGCAACCATGGCATTAATTTTCTTTGAAGAACCTTGTGTTTAGTAAAGGATTGTTGCATGTTGCCAGTAATACTTGTGTTAGTGTACAGGTCTTTCTCAACATATATGGCATTGTATATTTAATATTATATTTCCTATGCACCATTCATTAAGTGCTGTCCACATATAGAGAGATATGGGAATAAGAAAAATATCAAAATGGTGCTTGTTTTGTTTTCTTTATAGTATATACATGTATGTAACAGTACAATCAGTGTCCAGGGAAATAGTAATTGAAAGGTTATCTGAGTTGGTAAGTTACATATTTTATTAAAAAAAACTGTTCTCCAACTCAAGAAATTTGAGTTTTCAACTATATCAACTATCTGAGCCAAGTGCTGTGGCATTATATTTTCTACATCACTTTGATTGCAGAGCTGTTTGTGTGTTAACACAGTAAGTTTATGTTTAACGGTGCTTGTATGTTTTCTATCACAGTGTGAATGTTTACAGTAATCTAGTAATCGCCATCGTACAACCTATGCTGTCTAGCAAATATTATCTAGTATTTAGACAATAAACCGGATAGTGAATGTGAGTGAGTATGTAGTACTGTCGATGCAGTTAACTGACTTGTTTTTCTTGTGTTTGGTCAGAAAAACAACAAGAGAGTAGTTACAAATTAAATATTCCACTTTCAAGATCCAAACGCAGGGGTCAGGTGTTTGGTGTAAGTAGTGTAAATGACTGGAGTTCTCTACATACACCTGATCTTATGGTCAACAGTCAGTGGAAAAGATCTAAACTTAAGTACTAGTACTTAGACCATCACTGGGAGCACCTGTGGTGCAGGCACGAAGGAGTCAACTACACCAGTTTACCACAGCTTTCTCAACTGCATGCGGAAAAAGGTATCTTAAGTGGTAAATATAATGTTAATGACTTGACATCATGTTCAAATATATTATTTTCCACTAATTCAAGTTAATAAGTGAAAAGATAATCATATTGAATCTATTTACAGCAGACCCTTGTTAGACTAAAAGTCTGTACCAGTTTAGCAGTATTACTGCACAGAACTATCAAAATTCAGTACATAAAATATCTGTCATGATTACAATTTGCAGCACTGTTTATGTGCGGGTTACAATATACTTTCATGAAACCATTTCAGAACCTAAGTGTACTTGTATTTTTAGTATATTCCATCTGGGTTTGGCTTCAAGCTTGTTCATAAGTTTATTCCCTCTTCTCCTAGCATGAGGTTTTTTTATTCTCATAGGAAAATGGTCCACTTTTTGTACCATGTATTTGGCATGTCTCTTCCATTTTTCTAGATGGTAAGTTGAATTGCTGCAATTCACTACTGCACACAGCTTCATGTTGAGGTCGGGAAAGTAACACTGTAAAAAGAAGAAGAGAGAAAAATTGAACCAAAAGTTGATGGATTTACGTTCAAAACATCAAGTCTTGAATGCACTAATGCAATGGCATTTGCATGCACAAAACCCCCATGGCCCTACGTATCCCGCTACGAAAACCACACTAAATATTTATAAACATATAGATGTCATCACTGCTTGTACTATTCCTAAATCATTATTTTAATCGGTAATAATGTCGTGGTGAGACGGTGAGGATTGTGGTTAGAAAGCTCTATGTGCTTGGGGTGACACAAGAACACGTAGTGTATCGGTCTTCTGAAGACAAAGCTCATGCAGTTTATTTACAATTTTTACCGACTAAAACTGAAACATTCCACCATTATCTTACACAAATAACCACTCTTACACGAAAAAAGGTATTCCAAAACTCGTTTTATCGAGATTGGACCGGAAAATTGAGCGGAAAACGTGAAGACGGAAGGCGTGCAGGATGGGGGAGGGGGGCATGCATAAGTAATTAGGCGCTAGCGCTAGCTTGGATACCGTCAAAAAACGTACCGTAAATCCACTTGAAGATAAAGATATCGCGATATTTTAGGCAAGATAGGTCCAGAACATCGTTGGAACTCAGCCCAAGGCGGGCCACCACCGGTAACGCCGTGTGTAAGCTGGAAATCGAGACATACGCTGGCGCTGGGGACGATTGCGGCCGCGGGTTTGTTTATCTCCAATTCTGCGTCGCTAAGTAAACTCCGCGCAGGCGCACTAGTAATGGCGAATAGGCTTATTCCTTGCGGCTGTCGTGTGCCGAGCTTTCTATTTGTTTTTTAATAGTGTCTTTTCGGCGATTAAAGTTCTGATTTTAGTCGCGAAATGTCCGGATTTACGCTACAAAATACGTGATTGGGGACCTTGATAGTATTAATTTTAGGGAAATTTATCCTTCCCTCGGCGATCGAGGGAAGGATAAATAACTGTTTGGCACTAAGTTTGTATCATGGTGTAAGGTAGCAGGCAAAGGGTTAATAGCGTCATTACTTCAAGGAAAGTCGACAGTGGGGTTTTAATACTCAGAATGCTAAGATAGCCAAAGGCAGTAGACAGCTAATTTTGATCGAGGATTGATCATCATTATTGCCCCGATGGGAATTTGTACTTAGTACGTAGGAGTGTGAGAACTTGGCATCCGCCGCGTAGTCGACAGTGGTCCGCGATTTTGCAAACAAGGTAGACGTCGGGGGCGAGAAGTACATGTATGATGTACCTTATTTTTAGAGCTCCATAAAGAAAAATACCGTCCTTGTAATAAATTTAGCGTTTCAGCTGAACAGTCAGTTCAGCACCCAGGACAGTCTGTAGTCATAAAATTCACCAGTAGTACTTAATACGGTCTCGATTCCTTTTATTCAATAAAAGTATTATTTTTATGTTGCCAGAATTTGCCAGGAACTGTATATTCCAAGTGGAAGTGATTTTGTGTGTACTTGAGTGAATTGTATTGAAACCATTGTGGAAAATGTGTATTTTATTAAAATAAAATCTAAACTAAACTACCTACATGCCAATAATGAAAACCCCTTCATACTAACACACAAAATGTATATGCGTATGTAGGGGAGCAAGATTTATATCAAAAGTCATATCATCACTTCAAACACATTTGCTGCATACGATTTTGTTGTGCAAAAATACTACACCAGCAAACGCCGGCTTTTCAAAAGCACTTGTTTAGGTAAAAATTACTAAAAAAAATGGGATTTAAAGGGTCATAATTTTCCCCAGAAGAGAGATATAGAAACAAAAATAACTGATTTGTGTACCTTGTAGTAGGTTATTGTGGCATATTTTCAGGGAGAAATATTGATGTTTAATTTTTTGCCCCTCCCCCTTAATTAGGGCACTAGAACGCTTGCCCTATTTTCTGGGTTCTAAATTCAAGATGACGTCACGGCGATCCTGGGCAGAAATGAAAATGCCTCCATATCCAAATTTGCTTAGAATACATTTAGCTACATTTGTGCCAAATTTGATACTTTTAGACAAAAGTGCACAATTTTTCAGCTATGCCGTTGGACTATTACCTGTTTATTTCAGTTTATCACAACAATAAATGGAAGGCACAACGGATGCATACGCACGTTTACAAGTTGTCTTCCCACACATGAAAAATTAACTGCATGTAACAAGGAGCCTATATAAGCTCCTTGCATGTAATGATATATATAATATACAATGTGAAAATACTGAAGCATAACTCATAGATCAATAGCATGAGCGTCATTCTTCCTCTGGAAAGCTTACGTATTTATGACATCTAGTCCAGGAATTTAGCTTTATGCGATACAGTTCTTATCTTGTTTTCTTGCCACGTAAGTCTTGTTCATGGCGGCGTAGTTGAGGCAATAACGCGAGCGACTTTGTTTGACAGTGATTTAAAGTGTTCGCTAAGCGCACCCATGGAAGAATACGTGTCACATTACCACTTAACACAGCCGTAACATACACAAGCTTAATTTGTTTCTCGTCTTACAGTGTTACATACATCATTGGAAGTGATATTTTTGCCTCCATGAAAAATGGAGGTATTGTTTTTGTTCTCTCTCTCTCTGTTTGTTTTCGTTTTATCTCTCTCTGTTTCTTTGTTTGTGTTTGTGTGTGTGTGTGTGTGTGTGTGTGTGTGTGTGTGTGTGTGTGTGTGTGTCTGTTTCTGTATAATTGTGGTCAGCATAGCTTAAGAAGGTTTTTTTGGTTGTTTATTTGTTTGTGTATTGTTTTGCACTTACAAATAAAACAATGTAACAATTTAGAAATGAATAGACATACATGGGAGGTTTATCTTTGACCCTTACCAATACTACAAAATTAATTAATTACCATTACCTTTATTACCAGATGAACCTTGTGATGGTATTCGGTATGTGGGTAAGCCTTGGAAAGACAAAGGACAAGGGGTCAGCCCCCAAAAAGGCGACGTTTGTTAATATCGGATACATTAAATATTACAGATACAATATGATTTAGAAGCTGGTACGTTACGCCAAAGGGCAATAATACCAATTATACAGTCAGGGATACCATTTGGAAACCTCTAATATAAGTATAACCAAGGGCATTGTATAATATTATTTATCTAACATTGTATAATGTCCTTGGTATAACCAACTCTTCAAGGTCACATTGACGCATCTTTACTTTATTCTATTATCATCATCTTTGACATTTTACTAGAGGTTCCTGTATCAAAGCGAAGCGACGTGAGAAATGTCAAATGTAGATTAATAGATTCGACATTGCGAGTGAGTTCTTGCTTAAATGTCGCCCGCTCTTTCCTTTGGTTTTATCTGACATTTTGAGGCATTTTCCAGCAGCTTATGAGAAGTAGTGCGTAAAAGTTGTTGCCGTCATTTTTATTGTTTGGTTAATACATATTCTATTCTGCTTTGTATTTGAATATAAACCTGCACAGTTCTTTGTTACATAAAAAATATTATTATATTATACTTGCACTTCAACGTAACACAGCAGATTGCAAATAAGGGTAAAGGCACATTCCAAAACAGGTTTTATGTTGACAAAAATAGACAAGTCATATCGACAATATTATTATTATTATTTTGTTTTTCAAACTTTATTAATATTCACAATGGTACATTAAAAAGAGATACATAGTTGACATACATATCGACAATATTATACAAATAGCACTCGTGTTCAGTTTTTCACATACATTTTGGCTTTGTTGTCTTTTACATCATACTTTTTGCTTCTGGAAACTGCCCGGCCGGGCCCCGGGATGGGAATTGTGCCCTAAGCATTATAAGGCGGCGCGGCAGCAGTTGGCTATATTTCATTGAAGGAATTGTCTCTCCTGACAGGGTAGATATGATTTAAATTTCTTCTCACGGAGAACATGTGTTCCATTCCAAAACATTGTCCAGAATGCTACAAAGTAGAACGTGCCATCTTTCCAAAACTTGGTCCATCATAAGACAAGTTTTGGAACATCATTTATGTTTAAATCACATTTCAAAACCGGGGCCCGTCTGGGCAGTCTCATGGAAAAAAAGTATATGATATAAAAGACAACATAGCACACCAAATTTGAAAATGGGAATAATGGGATCTATTTGCGTATGTTGTTGATAATAATTGTTGATTTTTCGTTTATCGAAACAGCCGGGCCCTGGTTTGGAAATGTGACCTCAGCATTACATGTAAGGGAAAAGCTACCAACAACGGTAAATTTTCCCCTTGATTTTACAGCTGTGTTTGGTGACTTCGAGGCTCGGCAGCTGAAGTCGCACCTTATGCTGAACTATGACCCCGGGCTCCGCCCCGTCACTGACGTCACACACCAGACTACGGTAGAGGTCGGCATCGACTTCCGTCAGGTCATCGAAATAGTAAGTGCATTGTGGGTTAAATTAAACATGGTCAGCATCGACTTCCGTAAGGTCATCGAAAAATTAAGTGCATTGTGGGTAGAATTGAACATGGCCAACATCGACTTCCGTCAGGTCATCGATATAGTAAGTGCAACTGTGGGTAGAATTAAACATGGTCATCATCGACTTCCGTCAGGTCATCGAAATGGTAAGTGCATTGTGGGTAAAATCAAACATTGTCAGCATCTACTTCCGTTGAGTGCATTATGGGTAGAATTAAACATGGTCAGCATCGACTTCCGCTAGGTCATCGACATAGTAAGCAAGCTGCATTGTGGGTAAAATTAAACCTCCCTAGTATTTATTTCAGCCAGCTCATTTAATTTGTTGACTTGGTGCATTGTTAGAGTTTTAAATGGGTAGCATCCACTATAAAGCTTCAGTAGTTTGAAATTTATTATCAAATCTACAAATTTTCTGCATACAGGTTTGTAAAATTACTTTATCGTAAGCCTTTAAAACATGTGCCTCAAACGTTAATTGTGAAAAAATAAACACAAGACAGATCACCAACCATAGCCAATAAAAGGCTAGCCTCCTTTGCGGAGGTAATAAAGAGTATCCAGCCGTTTGTTCTCCTATAATTTAACACTCGAGGCCACAGCTGCAGCGCTAAGGTACCAAAAAGCGTGACAAAGTGCTCAATCCGGCGGGTAAACTGAGGACTCCATAACCCCTCCTCATGCACATCCATTTTACACCAAATGTGTTCCTGTTTTGTCGATGAATGTTCTAAGACATCTAGGTAGAACATTACGTACTTTTCGTACAAATGGGTTCCTGTTATTTTCAAATTGATGAATGTTCTAAGACATCCATGTAGACATTACGTTCATTTCATTCTTGTTAATCCTTGTTCATCCTTGACTATAAACTTCGAGAAAAATAGACACGCGATGGATATATCTGTATGTCATGAGAATTGGGAACATCTTGATGATTTAAGCTCATTTGTTAACAATTGGACTAACTGGGAACTGTTAGTCATCATAATACTAAGAGATCGGCCTGAATTTCGTTGAAAGTACAGCTCCGTTTTTTTTTTTAATTTCCAACAAGTTTGCACGCTTTGTTTACATTAAAATTCAATTAAACATTAAAAAAAAACATGTACACATCAAAAACGAACCCCACAGAAAGCCACAGTATAAAAAGATGTCGAAGCTCATAACTAAGACTGGACTGATATCTGAAGATTCACACAGCCATGCCTGGACGCCGTAAATACCACACTCAATTCATACAAGAAATATCTTCAGTCATAAACCCGTAACCCTGTAAATATAGTCATCTGTGCTGCCAGCTGCGGCCGGCTGATATGGAACCATTGGTACTAGGATTACTTCAAAAAGTAAGCAGTAAACTTTAACATTCAGAATGCTAAGATAGCTGCTTAGCCAATTTTTTGGTTATGGTGTAAGGTACATTGTAGCATGCAAAGAGTTATTACCTCAAAGAGACAATGGATTTTAACATTCAGAATGCTACGGTAGCTGTTTGGCACCAATTTTGTATTACTTATGGTGTTAGGTAGCAAGCAAAGGGTTAACATATAGCACCATTACGTCAAAGGAAGTAGACAATGAACTTTAACATTCTGAATGCTAAGATAGTGTTTGGCACAAGGTTCGTGTTAGTATTATGGCGTTGGGTAGCAGGTGCAGGTAAAGGGTTAATAGCATCATTACTTCAAAGAAAGTAGGCAATAAACTTTAACATACAGAATGCTAAGATATGCTGTTTGGCACTACGTTTGTATTAGTTATGGTGTAAGGTAGCAGGAAAAAGGTTAATAGTGTCATTAATTCAAAGAAATTAGACAAAGTTCTTTAACATTCAGAATGCTAAGGTAGCTGTTCGGCATCAAGTTTGTATTAGTTATGGTATTAGGTAGCAGGAAAAGAGTTAATAGCTGCATTACTTCAAAGAAAGTAGGCAATGTTCTTTAACATTCAGAATGCTAAGGTAGCTGTTCGGCACCAAGTTTGTATTAGTTATGGTGTAAGGTAGCAGGCAAATGGTTAACATTTAGCGTCATTACTTCAAAGAAATCGACAATGAACTTTAACATTCAGAATGCTAAGATAGCTGTTTGGCACCAAGTTTCTACTAGTTATGGTGTAACTTAGCAGGCAAAGAGTTAATAGCGTCATTACTTCAAGGAAAGTAGGCAATAAACTTTAACATTCAGAATGCTAAGATAGCTGTTTCATATCATGTACAATGTAGTTTGTGTTGGCTGTACTAGTGTTAGGCAGCTGTGAGAAGGTTAATTTCGTCAATCGTTCCGAAGAAAGAAGACTGTTAAAAGTATAACCTTTAGCCTGCTTAGGTATCCGTTTGGCACCAAGTTTGTATCAGTATTTGCGTTAGGTAGAAGTGAGAAGGTTAATAGCATTATTAGTGCAAAGTAAAGCACTGGCAGATGCTGTGATCTTGTTAAATGATAAATGTCTTTGTTGACGTATCTAATGTAATGAGAATGTTTTTGAAATAAAATGTAATAACTAAGCTTAACAACACTCTGATATAATCTCTTCGTTCTGCACTGATCCACCTTATTTACGTTGATAAATGGTGATATTACTTAATATACAGAAAGCAGTTATTGAAAACATAAATCGTCTAGCCAAACTGACATGCCATAATGTTTTGATACTATGATTCAAGCATTCAAACAGGCTACAAAAGCTGGAATCGACGAGAAAGATCGAGTTTTACACTCACTGATAACTGTGTGCATATCCATGTTTACTAGGTATGCTTTCATAGCGTTAATGATTTTGCAGAAAGCAGTCATTCAAAGCAAAATAACATTACCACCTTGATACCTTAATACTTTAATTCTTCCATTCAATAGACGCCCCCTTAAATTCATTTTGAGCTCTGATTTATACACTAATAACTGTGTTCATATCTACGTTTAAGATCTCTAAGTATTTTGTTGATAGTGTTATTGGTCTTGGAGAAAGCAGCGATTGAAAACACAGATGGTCTTGACTATATCTTATGACTTGACACCTTAATACTCGAAACCTGCCATTCAAGAAAGACCCTTTTAAACTTATCTAAAAAGACTGATTCATACTGTAGTACTTGCATACATATCTATGTTCAAGATCTCTAAGTATTTTGTTGATAGTGTTATTGGTTTTAAAGAAAGCAGTGATTGAATACACAGATGATCTTGACTATATCTTATGACTTGATACATTAATACTCCAAATCCGCCATTCGAGAAGGACCCCTCTTACAGGACTGATTTATACTGTAATAACTGTATACATATCTATGTTCAAGATCTGTACGTAGATGTTGATAGTGTTATTGGTTTTGAAGAAAGAACTGTGATCAAAACACAAAGATGAGCTTCACAATTTGTAATGACCTGATACCTTAATACTTTATATCTGCCATTCAAGAAGGACATTTTTAAACTTATCCAAGAGGACTGATTTGTACATACATATCTATGTTCAATATATCTACGTATGTGTTGATAGCGTTATTTCTTTCGAAGAAAGCAGTCATTGAAAATACAGATAAACTTCACAATTTCTAATGACTTTATACCTTATACTTTAAATCTGCCATTCAAGAAGGACCCTTTTTTTATCTTATTTAAGAGGACTGGTATGTACATACATATCTATGCTCAAGATTTCTACGTATGTGTTGATAGCGTTATTTCTCTCGAAGAAATCAGTCATAGAAAACACAGATGACCTTCACTATTTCTTATGACTTGATACCTCATAATACACCAAATCTGACATTCAAGAAGGACCCTTTTAAACGTATCTAAGATGACTGATTTATACTGTAATAACTGCATACATATTTATGTTTAAGATCTGTACGTATATGTTTGTTGATAGTGTTATTGGTTTTGAAGAAAGAACGTGATCAAAACGCAGATGACCTTGAGAATTTGTAATGACCTGATACCTTAATACTTCAAATCTGCCATTCAAGAAGGACCACTTTAAACTTATTTAAGGGGACTGATTTGTACGTACATATCTATAATCAAGATCTCTACGTATGCGTTGATAGCTCTATTTCTCTCGAAGACAGCAGTCATAGAAAACACAGATGACCTTCACTATTTCTTATGACTTGATACTTTATAATACTCCAAATCTGCTATTCAAAAATGACCCTTTTAAACGTATCTAAGATGACTGATTTATACTGTAATAACTGTATACATATCTATGTTCACGATCTGTACGTATATGTTTGTTGATAGTTTTATTGGTTTTGAAGAAAGAACTGCGATGAAAACGCAGATGACCTTGGTAATTTGTAATGACCTGATACCTTAATACTGCAAATCTGCCATTCAAAAAGGACCCTTTTCAACTTATCTAAGAGGACTGATTTGAGGACTACATATCTATACTCAAGCTCTCTAAGTATGTGTTGATAGCGTTATTTCTCTCGAAAATAACCTTATACTTTAAATCTTCAATTCAAGAAAGGATATTTTAAACTTATCTAAGATGACTGATTTATACTGTAATAACTCTGTGTACATATCTATGTCCAAGATCTGTACGTATATGTTGATAGTGTTATTGGTTTTGAAGAAAGCAGAGAGTGAAAACACAGATGATTTTTACTATTTCGTATGAATTGATACGTTAATACTCCAAATCTGCCATATGCAATGCATTCAATAAGGACCCTTTTAAACTTATCTAAAATGACTGATGTATACTGTAATATCTATGATCAAGATCTGTACGTATATATTGATAGTGTTATTGGTTTTGAAGAAAGAACTGTAGTTAAAACGCAGATGACCTTCACAATTTGTAATGACCTAATATCTTAATACTTCAAATCTGCCATTCAAGAAGGACCCTTTTCAACTTATCTAAGAGGACTGCTTTGTTTGTATCGAAGAAAACAGTAATAGAAATCCTTAACAATTTCTTATGACTTGATACTTTATACTTTAAATCTGCCATTCAAGAAGGATACTTTTAACTCATCTAAGAGGACAAATTTATACTGTTATAAATGCATACATATCGTATGCAAAATTTCTACGTACTATGCTCTGATAGCCTTTTTTCTTTTGAAGAAAGCAGTCATAAAAAAAGGCAGATGACGTTGACAAACTTTAATGTTACTTGACCCCTTAATATTCTGCCATTCAAGAAGGGACCTTTATAACTAATAGTACCGATTTATACTCTGGGAACTTTGTACATATATATGTTTCATCTTGCGTTGATAGCGTTATTGATTCCTAAGGGTGGAGCCATTGAAAACATATATTACATTGCCGGACGGGTATGGGGGAGGGACAAGCAAATCGTTATGCGCAGAGCTAGTAGATTTATTTCGGTACTTATTTTCTAGATAATTTTTTCCTAGGCAAATTTTACTCAGAAAGGCCCAGTTGTCTGGTAAGACAGAAGAATGTATATTTTTAAGATATGGCCAAAAAGTGTGACCTTTTTCATGGTTTGACCTGTTATTGACCTCTGCGTGGACTGTCCCACTTTGCCAGGGGGTGAAATCCTGGTATCATTTCAATATTTTAGCTGTAGCTCATTAAAACGCAGGAGTCGAACTTCCACTATTTGTACCAAAAGACACCTGACAAATCCAGCTTTCCATAGGGGTTAAGACTTGAGGTTAGAGATAAATGTAAATGTGTTTTAAAGTGCTTGTTTCTGGTGGTTTTAGCATTGATTTCAATGGGATCTCCTTAAGCTGGTCCCTGCCCTATGGTATGACTTGATTTCTTGATACTGTAATTTTCCGTTCAAAGAAGAGTGGAGAATACTCTAGTTGATGTTTCCTGAAGAGATCTAGAACTGATATGTACACCGGTACTATGCATGTACCAGAAAATTTGTTCTACGCTGATAATTGTTTTGCCTTAGTAAGGCCACAGCAAGTAATTTGTACGGATGACATCGACGCGCGCATTAATTTTCAAGAAATTTTGTTGCTCTCTGGCTGTGATTCATGAGCATTTGATTGCAAGCGCTTACACGCTTATGTGATCATTTGCTCAAGAATACAAAATATACAAAATACAGGTTAAAATAACAATGAATAACGAACATAAAAATGAAGGTGGTTGGCACACCAATAAACATAGGATGATTGGCGTTAATATGATGACTTTAATCTTTTAGACTGAGAAATAGAATTAACTACATTGTTGAAAATACGGCAATTTGATTCCTAAGGGTGGAGCAATTGAAAACATACTAGTATATTACATTGCCGGACGGGTATGGGGGAGGGACCAGCAAATCGTCATGAGCAGAACTAGCTTATTTTTTAGATAATTTTTTTTCTTTGGCAAATATTGCTCAGAAAGGCCCAGTTTTCCGTTAAGAAGGACAGAAGAATGTATATTTTTAAAATATGGCCAAAAAGAGTGACCTTTTTCATGGTTTGACCTGTTATTGACCTCTAAATACTTGTAATCTGTGTGGACTGTCCATGACAAATCTCATTATCCTGACCCTATCATTTCTTCTCCTTCTAGGATGAGAAGAACCAGATTATGACATCAGTGGTTTGGCTAAGACAGGTAAGACCCTTGGAGACTCTGCTATAACTCAAAAGTATTTTTCTTTCTTCTCTGTATCTTTAAAAAAATTGGTTCTTTTATACATTTGTCTCCTGTTTGCAGAATTAGATGTTAAACTGTTTTATGTGACATGGTGCAAAAACTTTTGTTCTATTAGAAGAGATTGTTCTCACCATCTTTCCATCAGCAAATCTGGTCTTCTTCAATATACTGATAAAGTGAGACTTGCTCCATCTTTAGAGAGCTCTAGATTTATCAAAATCTTACATTGATTATGACTCTGTTTTCTACTCTACTTTACAACGTTTAGTAATGATATCACTATATGTTAGTGGAAGTTAACCCTCGAACACCCGAACGGGGTCCATTTGGCCATATTTGCACTTTGCTACACACATAATTGCTCAGATGTCCTCAACATGTCTTCAGGGAAGCACTATTGCTTCACTATTATGCAGTTTGTCAAGTAACCTCAACCTCAGGTTTTCAGAGGTTATGACCTTTGACAATCATATGAGGTCAAAGATCAAATCCCATGTTCATACCTGTAGGCCTCACCCTATTTTTGCATAAATTATGATAATGAGCTGGAATTTTTTAACACGTAATCATGCCAAAATATACCTCTTACTATGTTTAACCAATATATGTGCAAAGATCACTGAAAGAATGCAAAAGGGAATGTAAATTTGAAAGAAACCAAATGGGGTCCATTTGGACTCCGTTCGGTCACTGCCGTCTCAAAAATGTTCGGGTGGTGAGGGGTAAGGATCTGGATACACATTCATAAATTCATTATTCGAATTCATTCAATCAATCAATCAATCAATTAATCAATCAATCATTCATTCATCCATGTTGTTTTCTCCATTCCGTATTCCCCCAGTACTGGTATGATGAGGCTCTAGTGTGGAACTCCACAGACTTCTGGGATATCTCTTACGTCAATATCCCGTCCAATGAGGTCTGGCTCCCGGATACCGTCCTCTATAACTCGTGAGTATTTTGGTTTGTTTGTTTGTTACCTCCATGAAAAATGGAGGTATTGTTTTTGGCGTGTCTGTCTGTATGTGTGTCTGTGTGTGTGTCTGTCTGTGTGTGTGTGTGTGTGTGTGTGTCTGTCTGTGTTTCCGCAACTTTGTAGTCAGCATAACTTCAGAACGCCTTTATGGATTGTGATGATATTTTGTATGATGGTAAGTCTTGGAAAGACAAAGGCCAAGGTCAAGTATGGGCCTCCTGGTGGATGACCTTGGTACTGCAGCAGAACTTCCGGTTTTTGTATCTTTTGTCCTGAACAAGCTATGGTCTTGTTTTTTTGGTGACAGATAGCTTATCCTGTTAGGAATAAGTGGCGTAAGTTTGGTCCCCCTAGCAGCTTGTTCTGGAACTGCAGGTTAGTTTCTGGTAAAAACTTTCAAAGCCAATAAGTCCAGATTGGAACAACGTATTTTCATCATTTTTGGTGTGTAGGTACCTGAGAGACAGTTGTACATGATGAAATGCAAATTATGCAAATGAGGACTTTATTTGCATAATTAATGAGGAAATTCTAAAATTACAGTGTTTTACATTATACTACTTTCATACATGTAATGTGTGTAAGCTATGGCAGGCGGAGCATCAACAGATACTAATTATGCAAATGATGACCTAATTTGCATAATTAATGCGAAAATTCTATGATTTCTTAATGGTGAATGATGGGAATGTCATACTTGGGACATCTGTAAGTTAATCAAAAGTTAACATA